ATAGACTATTAAAGTGTAACTTTAACGAAAGATTCCAAAGAGAATCCCATCATGAATTTTTTGTCGGGTGGCATGTTATATTCATTGTTGAAGGCACTTTGATGGTTTTATACATACCATGGCTCTAATAAATGCAGGTCGGGAAAGCATACTTAGAATTGATAGACTATTTAGAAGCTGAAAAAGCATTNCGGCTTGCCCGCCAGGCTTCTCCTAAAATAAGCATGTATGTAAGTNTGTTTAGAAGGAATGGATATATACTCAACCGTCCTCTATGTAAGTGTGTTTNCTCCTGGTTTCTAAACATAGAACCGCCTCTAAGTCTGATGAACTTTGANATTTTGCTTTTAGGCTCTGGGAAGGTTGGTAAATTTTCGCAAAGAAAAATCTCATGTATTGTATATATTTTTGCAGCATTTGAAGGAAGATATGAAGCTGAGTTACATGGCTCAGGAACTAATATCAACTGACCACCTAGCTCCTCAATCTTGGTAACTTTTGTTGAATGTCTCTTTCTGATTAATGCTTTCATTTGTTGTTGGTAAATAACAAAAATTAGCGATTATGTAGGTGTGCTATGGGAAATTGTTATAGCTTGCAAAAAGACCACGAAANAGCATTAAAGAATTCCTGCGAGCTGTTCAACTGCATCCAAGATTTGCATATGCACATACCCTATGTGGCCACGAGTAGGAAAGCTTTAATCCATTTTTACAATAATCTATTTTAAATGCTCTGGTTGTTGGTCTTAACCTCTGTAGATACACAACTCTAGAAGATTACAGAATGAAAAGTTACCAAAATGCACTTCGTGTAGATACAGGCGCTATAACGCATGGTATGGGCTTGGAATGATATATCTACGCCAAGAAAAGTTAAGAGTTCTCGGAGATTTTAGCAACTAAAATATTTCTATAAACTCATATTATAATAAATGCTTTCAAAAATTTCCNAGAACTCAACTTTTTTTGCAAAGTATAAGCAAATAATTAAGTTTATTTTGAGATCGAATGTCAATTATTTATATAAAGTCAGAATTTTAGCAACTAAAATATTTCCGAGAACTCTAATGATTTTAGCAACTAAAATATTTCCGAGAACTCTAATGATTTTAATGATTTTAGCAACTAAAATATTTCTAAAAAGTCAGAATTTGAACAACTAAAATATTTCTATAAACTCATATTATAATAACTGCTTTCTAAAATTTAGCAACTAAAATATTTTTAACAATAATCACGAGATTTGTNATTTNCTTAACAATAATGAGAACTACCATATTCATATTTGCATTTAATTATTCATATAATTAGAAAAAATCTTTCTAAGAATCTGAGTTTCTTGCGGAAGTTTGAAAAATATATTTTAAATTAAAAAATTAAAAGATAAATTTCGGAAACTAATAAAATTTTAATATTTAGTTATTAAAAAATATTTAGAAAAGAATGA